GACTCCAGCAACTCTTGCAGTGATTCTGACAGTGACAGTGACGTGGAGGTGAGCGAGGAGCAGGCTGGTGAACCTGACAAAGCTGCCCGACCTGCCGTGCCATCCACTTTGAAGTGGTATATCAATGGCGGCACCTTGGTGATCCATGAACGACGAGATGAAAAGTCGTTCAAGTGCGGGAGGGTCATTGGACCACCATACTTCCCTGTGCACCAGCTGACTGGGCTGCGATGCGGGCAGTGTTTTGCAAACACTCTGTGATCCAGTGGTTGCCCACTGCGACAAAAAGAAGCGGCTTGCGCCGCTGTTGGGTTGTTTGCGCAACCTTGATGAAGCTGGTATGTCCAGCCATGTGCATGTTCAGATTTTTGAGTCATTTGTCAATTTTTCCTTTGGGACTTTGTTTGCATTTTTCATGTTTGAAAACCGGTGATGTTGTGGAACATCTGGATTGGGAACGATGCTCATGGGTCAAAAGTTTTGTGGCATTTGCATGTCTCTTTGTTGCTGCGTGTTTGTGGTTTGGTCCATGTGAACACATGTGATGCAATGATCAATGTAAATGACCGTTAGTTTCCGGTTCAAGATGGCAGGAATTGTGGACAGTGAAGCGCACTTTGAAGCGCGAGCCAATGAGTATGGTGTGCCAGCAAATTTCTTGCAGGCGCTCAGACGCGAGGGCATAACAACTGTTGGACACCTAGCCTTTGCGGTGTTTAGACCCGGTGCAGAGTTCAACGAGCGTGAATTTGATACCTGGGCACAAGGAGTGAACAACAATGTTCCTTTGACTATGGGTGCAGCCGCAGCGGTAAGGCGACTCCACTATGAGTGTGAGGTGATCATGACATCAACGATCAGGTCAACAGTAGAAACTCCCGACTCTTCCACGCCGAAAGCCATACCATTTGCTGAGAAGACAGCCAGGATGGAACAGATAAGGTTGAGGTTGCAAGGGCTGAATATCACTGGTGTGGGTGAGCCTTCGCATTCACTTTTTGGATGAGTGCGCACATCAATTTGAAACCCGAGTGCTCAAATACCTTGAACCTGCAAGATGTACAAGTCGGGAAAATGAAATTACATCAGGTCGCACTGACAAGAAACTCAAGTTGGATGCTGGTAGTTTGAGTATCAAGGAATCCAAATCGGTTCCGGACGAAACAGTATCAACCACATACAACCTTGCGGCTTGCTTGCGCAGACGTGGAATTGCATATGACTTTGCAAACCTGATCAGCTTTCGATCACATGAATTGTATGTGGAGAAATTGCTACGTCATTTGTCTCTGGAACCACCGCCTTCATTCCAGGCTGTTACATTGGCGCAAGTCATGCGGGCGGACAAGGAAGTGTTCACGTACCTTGCACACAATGTGCAAGACATCAGGCCTGATGCTGCAGATGTCCGACCACTTGACAACGCATTGGAAGATGCACTGAAGGACTACAACACAGCCTTCCATCTTTTACCTCTGCCCAAAGCACATGCAAGTGAACATCATGCGCCCAAGCGCAATTTCCCAGAGCCATATCCTACACAGAACAACTATAAAGGACGTGGCAAAGGCAAGGGCAAAGGCAACAAGAGTTTTGGCTCCAACGCCGCACCAAAGGGCTATCCAGGATGCGTTGGGAGAGATGGCAAAAACAGGCCAATATGCTTTGACTTCAATCTTAGTCAGTGCACCAAAGCCCCCGTTGGTGCGGCATGCGCCAAGGGGCGACATGTTTGCTTCAAGGCTGGATGTTTCAAAGCCCATCCTTACAAAGAAGGACATGCTGATGAAGCCAACAAGGACTGACTAGCCCAAGCAAGGCTAGCTGATGCCAAGCCGGATTTTTTGACAACTAGTGAACACGTTGTGGTCCTGGAACTCTTTTGTGGAACTGCAGGCTTGAGTGCTTCGTTAAAACGACTTGGACTCGACATCGTTGCAGTGGATAAGAACAAACCCAAGGCGCCTAAGGCGCTTGTTACAAAACTTGACCTGACGCTTGTCTCAAATCAACTTTTGGTGCTTAGCTGGATTCGAAACCCACAGATTAAAGCTGTCTTCATGGCCCCACCTTGCGGTACTGCCAGTGCAGCCCGAAACATACAAAGAGAAGATGACCCATTTTTGCCGCAGCCTCTGAGAACAAAAGAATTTCCTGATGGCTTGCCAGGTTTACAAAACCTGGACTTCTTGCGTGTGCAGCAGAGCAATGTTCTATATGATTTTTCTGCAACAGTTTTTGATTTATGCTGTGAGCTTGGCAAGTTATGCATGTGTGAAAACCCACGTGACTCACTCTACTGGGACACCACCCCATGGAGGGAACGACAACACCAGGACACTGACTGTGCACAATGTCATCAAGCGTGTGCATATGGTTCATCACGTCCAAAGTGGACGAAATTGCTGGCAAATTTTTCAGAAGTCGAGCAAATAAATGCAGTTTGCGATGGCAAACACAAACATGATGCATGGGGATATCAATTTCAAAACGGCAAACGTCTATATGCAACCACTTTGGAAGTTCATTATCCCGCTGCGCTTTGTGACAAGATCGCTGCAACATTTTTGCTTGCATTACAGAAGCGTGGACTTGCCGTTGCTGTACAAGTCCCTATCAACTTAGCTGCTCGTACCCTTGCCCAAAATCAGCCAGCCAGCAATAAAGTAGCACCACTGATACCTGAGTTCAAAAGCAAATGCATTGCGCTTTTTCATGGTGACTCATGCATATGGCCACACCACAATGAATTTTTACAATGTTCAAAAGTCCTGCAAAAAGTTCAAATGGGGGGTGAAAACTTGCAGTCCTTGCGCAACAACATCACTGACCAATGTCGAGTTTGGAACATAGATGTGCAGGTTGATTTTGAACCCACCATTTGCAGTTTTCCGTGCGTTTTGGAGCTTAAGCTTTGTGGAGTTTTTTGGAGTGAGCAAGAGTTTGTTGAACAAGCTATGAAAGCAAAGCATCCACTTTCTTTGGACTCGGCGGTGCCACAGCAGTTGCTTGATGCGCTCCACTTCAATATTGAGAATGATGAAGCCACTGTTGCAAGAGTGAGAGCCGAGTTCTTTTCTCATTGGACCCGTAGGGCTTTGCAGTTGGAGAGTGATGAGAAAAACCTCAAGAAAACCATGCAACATGATGTGGCGAATGCGGTTAGCGGAAAGAGAATTTTACTTTTTGAAGAAATGTTGAAATCAACAGGTTATCCTGATCTTGGCGTTGTGGACGAACTTAGATGTGGCTCAGATCTTACAGGTGAGGTGCCCGTTACAAATATGCTCCCCAAGAAGTTTGAGCCAGCGCTGATCTCCGAAAACGAGCTCTGTGCCAATGCAGAGAGAATGAGGGATGCCGCAGTGAGGGAAGTAAGAAGCTCTGGTGACATGGAGATTGATGAGACTGTTTGGAGAAAAACCTTGGAGGAGGTAGACAGAGGGTGGTTAGTGGGCCCTTTGAGTGAGAGCATGGTACCAGCTGACCGCCCGCTTTCCCGAAGATTTGGTTTGCGCCAACGCCATGACAAGGTTAGATTGATTGATGACTACTCCGAATCCGGGGTGAATGCTTGCGTAACTGTTTCAGAGTCTCCCATGTTGCACACAGTAGATGTGGCTTGCGCACTATTGATGGTTTGGTTCAGTGCATGCAAGGAAGCCAATGTTGATAGCGATTTAGCTGTGCGTACGTTCGATCTGGCGAGCGCCTACAGACAAGTTGGTTTGAGCACAAAGGGTCAGCAATTTGCATACCTCCGGGTCTTTAACCCACGGAGCAAAAGGGCTAGTTTCTTTCAAAGCCTGGTTTTACCGTTTGGAGCAGTGCGTAGTGTACACTCTTTTCTGCGACTTGCAAGGGCGTTGTGGTGGCTGGGTGTTACAGGATGCTGTTTCGTTTGGACGTCTTTCTATGACGACTTCATTTCATTTAGCCGGCCGAAACTGGTTGGAAGTACTGAGCAGGCGGTTACTGCACTGTTCAGGCTCTTGGGATGGATCTTTGCTGAAGAAGGTGAGAAAGCACAGCCCTTTGACTTGCAATGTTCCGCCCTTGGTGTTGTCTTCAACCTTGGCTCAGCATCGACAGGCAAAGCCTTGGTGTGCAATACAGAGTCAAGGCGCACAGAACTATGTGAAGAACTGCTAAAAGTTGTGAAGGAAGGTCGCCTGACTAACAAACAGGCACAACGGATGCGTGGCAGGATGCAATTTGCGGAATCTCAATTGTTTGGCCGTACTGGCAAAAGATGCTTGCGCGTACTTGCTGACTTTGCAGAAGGTAAAAGATCTGCGCTCACTGACAAAGACAAGTTCTTTCTACAGATGTTTCGCAATCTCATGGAAGCAAATGTTCCTAGGGAAGTTCAGGCTTTATGTTCTGAGAATGTGTTGGTGTTCACAGATGCTTGCTATGAAGCGGGGCATCCTTCCTGGCCTTGTGGTCTTGGAGGGGTCATGTTTGCTGGAGGACAGGTGAGATATTTTTCACTGGCGGTTGATGAGGAGATGCGCAAATTGTTTGGTGAGGGTATCAAGAAGCAAATTATTTTCGAGGTGGAAACACTGGCAGCTTTGTTGGCTGCTGACTTGTGGCAAGCTGAATTTGGAAACAAAAGAGTTGTGCTGTTTGTGGACAACGAAGGCACGAAATTTTCACTGCTTAAAGGTCTCTCTGACAACCCTTGCGTTGATGCAATGGCTGAGTGCTTCGCTACCCTGGAATGTAACATTCACTCCATGATTTGGATAGCAAGAGTGCCTTCGAGCAGCAACGTGGCCGACCCGCCCTCCAGAGGCATAACAGATGTTCCCTTACTGGCAAATGCAACTGACTCTTCTTCTTTGGCGAAGGAAAAACTACTTGCAATCATCGCACAGATTTTTGGAGTTGGGGGAGAAGGCTGAGCGACGATCCCCAGATGAAAACAAGAGTCAATGCAGCGCTTGACATTCAGTATTTGCTTGAAAGCGGTTCAACGAATAAGCTGCAGTGACATGTCACAAAGCTTTATGAAGTTGAAGACAGAGCGCCTGGTCTGTCAACTTTCGGTCCAAGAGGAGGGAGGGCGGGTTTGCCACCGTTCTTTTTCGCGCTTTACCCTCCATCCACCCCTACTGCCACCAACTGGATCAATACAGCAGTTCAACAGCAGTTATAGGCCGACCTACAGCCAAGAAGGCTGAGCGACGATCCCCAGATGAAAACAAGAGTCAATGCAGCGCTTGACATTCAGTATTTGCTTGAAAGTGGTTCAACGAATAAAAGATTATATCACATAAGTAACCCATTTAATATAATCCATAGCCATAGGTTAAAGGGAATCCTTATATATATATATTACTTTGGGATTCTGATTTTTCATGGGATGGATGACCTGGATCACCGTAACCCTGGGATTGCGCCACCACCAGCTGCTGGAACTTCTTTGGGCCTTGCCTGGGATCTTGAGTCATGGGGGAAACTCCATAGTCATGGTGCTACCCCAAGCGAGCATTGGATGGTGACTAGTCATGGAAAATCCATCAATGGATGAGAACTGGGGGTACCCTAAATTTAGGAAACCTCTGTTATCATGATAATCCCATTAATACGTAATCAACCAGCAGGGCTCAAAAAAGAGTTTTAATATGATTGTCATAGACTACGATACCACGGGATTATTCAATATCCGAGAAAAAAACATTGTGGATTATCACAATTCATGATGGGAATCCCTATTCACCAGAGAATACAGAAAAACACAAAAAGAAACCATACTTTTCAGCAGATTTCCTAGCAGATTTTCTGATGCTTTCCCCTCACGGCACAAGTGCCGTGATTCTGGGGATCCATCTCCAGGTGGCCCTTTTTTTGGTAGGTAGATTCGGCCCGGTCATCAATCCATGAGGGGTTTTTTCGAGCCAAGCTCCATGATGTTGGGATTCCCATTGGAATGGATGGAATGGATGACCATAAACCATCATATACCCTCTGGTAATTTGTTACATAGCTATTGAAAATGGTGATTTTCCTAGTGGATTTTCCCATTGAAAATGGTGGATCTTTCCAGTTCGCTATGTGGCTGTTTACCAGAGGGTAGCTGAAGGCTGATGTATCCCATGATGTTCCCATTTTATTCCCATAAACCATCATGTTTTGACCCCACATGTGGGGACGACACAGCTTTTTCGCTTCGTCAGGTGAACCCGAGGAGGTTCCAGAGCTTACGAGCAGCTCCAAGATGCCTGTGGATTTGGTGGCCAAGATGATTCAGTGACCTGGCTGTGAAACATTGTGAAACAACTCGTGAAGGCTAAGAGAAGCGGTTGGTTTTATAAGGCGGATATTTATATAATGTATGACATGTACATACATGGATATATATATATATACATATACATATCTACATATGTATATATGTATATTTACATATACATATACATATTTACATATATATATATATACATATACATATATACATATATACATATATACATATATACATATATACATACATACATATATACATATATTTATATACATATTTACATACATATACATATATATGCATACATACATACATATATATACATATACATATATATATATACATATATACATATACATATATATATATGCATACATACATACATACATATATATACTGGTTGGTGGTTTCAAAGATTTATATTTTCCATAATACATTGGGAATAATCATCCCAACTGACTAATATGTTTCAAGATGGTTAAAACCACCAACCAGTATACATACATACATATTTAGGGGATATCATGGAGAAAAAGTCAAGATTTTGGGGATATCCCGTTTGTGTGCCAGGCTAGGTTTGACAGGAAACTCGGCCAGCTAAAGACCAGGTTTGTCTGAATGGGTTTAATTCACTATTTTTTGAATAATGTGGTTAAAACAATAATATAACCACCCATTTTGGAATAGTTGATACCACCTATTTGTGGTGAAATTGGGGATTGTTGCGTTACCAACATTACCCAAAAATCCGCTGGTTGAGAATATGACACTCCACATGTTTATGATAAGATGTTTGTGTGTATATATATATACCCTCTGATAATTTAACATAACTATGGAAAGATCCACCATTTATAGTGAACTTTCCCATGAAAAATGGTGGATCTTTCCATAGTTATGTTAAATTACCAGAGGGTATATATATATATACATACAAATATCCACCATTTTTGGACAGATTGGAATGGCTCCATTGCTCCATTCATCTTGGGAAAACTGACTGGTGAATCGTGGGGGGCCATGGGTTGCGAAAAAAAAGAAGTCGTTGGTGGGTTTCCGCCCGCTTAGGAAGTGGGTTATAACCCCAATTATAAGTGGATTAACCCTACTTATCCCATTTATAACTGGGGTTATAACCCACTTACGATTCGTGGGATCAGCCACCAAGTAGTGGGTTTCAGTGTGTGTTGTGTTTTTCATCCTGCCTCGAAAGATCTTAGATGGCCGGTTCGGACCACTATTTTGAGACAAAGCTATGATAGTCACAACGTTTCCAGTCACGCATAGTCACGACTGAAAGAGTCCGAAATAGTCCATTCTTTCTACTTGCGGTTCCAGTTATATCATCAACTTATATAGCATATAACCATCATCAACTTATATAACATACAACTATCATCAACTTACATAACCATAGTTATGAAGGTTATATCCCAACGTCTAGTGGCTATTACCATGGTTGCCATGAAGCCATCACCCCTGGCCACCATCTAAAAATCGCCCAAGGGGTGATGAGGAGGACGAGCAAAGTCCTGTGCTCTTAAAGACTTGGGACTTTGGAGGGCAACGCGAATATTACGTTCGGAACCCATGGGGCAAAATGGCTTGGTTTAAGGGAAAAAAGCTACAGGTTTTTCCATGATTGTTCCTACCAAATATATATATATATATGTATATGTGGGGTTTTCCTGTAGCTTTTCCTTCAAACCAATGGGAGGGGATGGAATCAAGTTGCGGGCAGCCGGGGAAAAAAGGACGGTCATTTGATGTCTAGGGTGATAGAGTAAGCTGCTTACACTGGATGTGTTGAGGGAATTTTGTGATGTAAAAGCGGCTCAACCAAAGCAGCCATGGAAAGGTGTAGTTTTCTACATCCAAAACGCCAGTGGAGCTCAGGAAATATTAGCCTCTGGACAGATTTCTACAGGTACTGATCCATTTGCTGGCTGAAAATAGGCCATTTGTTTACTTCTAAAATACCGTCAGTGAGGCAGTCCAAGTTTGGATCTTCCATATAATTTATAAGCCAACTATAGACTATAAACGGATATACATATATATATATATATAGATACATATATATATATATACATTACATGATATCTTAATCATATCCTCCATAAACCCAACGGTTAACATCCAAGGCTCGTTCTCATCATCCCCTGCAACATCGTTTCGTCAGTCCGTCAAGTCGCGCCGAAGCTTTGTCCCATGAATTTTCATCGTCCAAAAAGGATGAAAATGGACCCAAAAATGCATGGATTGATACTTAACCAGAACTGGTTGGTGGTTTGGAACATTTCTAGGGCAATCTTACATGGATACCTACTAATCCTTTAGTCTTTTGGTATTAATGGGAATATCTACTAACCAGCAAAGAATTTATTTTTTGCAGGGGATCTAACATTGGCAATGTCCACCAGAACTGCTTGGTGGTTTGGAACATTTTATATTGTTCCACTTATTGGGAATATTGATCCCAACTGACGAACGCCATCATTGTTCAGAGGGGTGGCGAAAAACCACCAAGCAGATAACATAATAGACATAATATAATTTGACTGACATGATCCAAAGTGGATTGATTCTTAAACATATTTGAATTACCATCTGCTTATGACTAACAGTTTGCCATGGAAAGATCCACCCATTTTCAAGTTCGGTAAGCCATCTTTTTCTATGGGCCATCTATACCATGGCGAACTGTTAGTCATAACCAGAGGGTAACCAATGATGGGGGATTTTTAAATCCACAAAAAATATGCCCCGTGATTTCCGCAGTTCCCCGTGATGTGTTTTTTGTCAAAGATGACCATTTGAATGGGTTGACCAACTGAAAATAAATGCTGGGAATAGCTAAGAACTATTGGCACAAACATGTTTTAGCTTACCTGGCTTACCTGAAATAAAGATTGGAACTGTGTGACTGGAAATAGATATGGCAGATATGGATAGTTTGCGAATGGACAACACATCCTGTAGGTAGAAAAGTTCGGTAGAAAATCCTGTAGAAAATCCTGTAGAATCCATCCAAGCTAGATAGAATAGGTAGAAAAGAAGCTGCCGAAAGGTCATGCATCATCTCTTCCTGACGAATCGCGGGTGCCATCCCCAGTTTTTTCCCGTCGATGCATGATGGACGTTTGTTCTTGGGGATTTAAGGTGAGTTAACCGCGTTTCCAGGAGGAAAATGGAGCTTCAAATAGCAAAAACGTATACAAATGCGGGATTGATAGTTGATTTAGTTGATTATTTGATTGATAGCGAAGTGTGTGTTCACACAACTCCCACAGCTGGGTTTATGGCAACGATAATTCTAGTTGACGGGGTCCAAATGGGTGCGTATCAAACTCGGTCAATACCCACAAATATATCTCCATAACCAAATCATACATTATAAGTCCGGTATGCCTCCCAAATCATTGTCCATAATATCCATTATAACTCCTGATTATACAGTATACCGTACCTTATTATTATGCATTGTATCCGTTATTGCCCCCATTATTACCATTTGTTTCCAGTAGTATCCATTATAAATCCCATATACCTCCCATCATTAGTATCCATTATATCATATGATATCCCAGTATAGTCCCACTATGTCACCATAAAAGGCTTGATTTACCCCGATGGTACAGCCATTTTGTCTCCATGATCATCCATCTGTTGTAAGTATTCTCATCTACTATTACAAGAAGCCATTATTATATGGATGATAACTTATAAAAAACAATTACAATATGATTATGCACTATAAATCCAGTATCCATCCACTGTAAATCCATAATCCATGATCTCTCCCATTATCATTATCCATCATTATTCATCATTATCAGTCCATTCAGGACAGGACAAGAGATCCGAAAAAAAAAAAAACGGAAAAACATAATGGTCAAACGAATTGCGGTGCCTTTTGGTATGGTGTTATCCATTTCAAATCCGTTATAAATCCATTCTTGTCATTGACCACATGTAAATCCATTATGTTTTCCACTATCATTATCCATTATTTCCATGATTATCATTATTCCACTATAAATCCATTAGGAATCCAGTATAAATCCATAGAATGCTTGATTTACTCAACCCGCATCATATGATCACCATATTGCTTGATTTGCCCCAAAAATGGAGATCAAATCCATTCCTGGAGAATTTAAGCCATATTAATGGTTTTTTGTTTATCTCCATTTATGATAACCATATATTAATGGCTGGAGAATTAATGGTATAGATGGTATATCTCCATTTGATAAACAAAAAACCATTTATGATAACCATATATAACATATATATTAACCATTCCCCCCAAATTCTCCTTCTGAGTTTCTACATCGTGGTCACCCGCCTGGACGCTTGGCGAACGGGTCCTACGGGTCCTTTGGACTCGGGCGACGTACTTCGGGACACCGACAGCGAGGTGCCGCGGTGAGTGAAACACGGGGTTAACCGTGGAAAATGATGAGCATCAACCAGATGCTTGGGAACATGTTTATTATTATGTTTGGGATTTTCGGTTAATCTACCAGTGTATGGTTCACTGTATATATTTATAATACATATATTGGTGGTTTGGAACATGAATTTTATGACTTTCCATATATTGGGAAGAATAATCCCAACTGACGAAGTCACATTTTTGGGTAGGTATACCACCAACCAGTCATGCTGGCATCCCATGACCTCCATAGCGAATTCACTTCAGTTTTCCCAGCGGAGAGAATGGACGGACCACCACCCAACTTCGTGCCTATCACAGCGAGCCGGCGCGGGAGTAACTTCATGACCATTGTTTGGGGGTTTCCTGAAATAGGTCTACCCCAAAATGGATGGTTTATAATGGAAAATCCTTCTATAAATGGAAGATTTGGGGGTACCCCCAGTTTAGGAAACCTCATATATGAGACTGCCGAAGGCTGCGAATCAATCCCTGTGAATCATGCGATTTTGTTCACAAGCAAGTCTCTCAACTTGAAGAAAAGGAGAGCGAACGCGAAGAGGAGCCAAAAGAAGTGATCCCATCTGTATTGTCAACAATTCGATAGGATTTTTGAATGGCTCGGATTCGCAGCTACTCATGTAGTACACCCAATCACCATACCCGTGTTTTGAAAGGCCTGTGAGAAACCCCCATGAACCCCCCGTGAAACAACATTTCGAAACATAAAGGTGAGCTTAACTTGGAAATGACGCACGTCATAATTCACATAATATGTTTTAGAAGAACGAAAGGTGAAACGATGTTTTTAGTCATCATTTGCAGGTGTTACCCTCTGGTAAACTAACATAACTATGGAAAATCACCATATTTAATGGGAAAAACCACTATAAATGGCCATTTTCAATAGCTATGTTAGTTTACCAGAGGGTATATTCTCATAGTAGCCCAACACCACCATTTGTGTTGGTTAAACCACCTACATGGCCCAGGACGGAGGGGCGTTCGAACCTCCGCTCGATGCCCTGCCGGGGCTGCCAAGCCCGGGGTGGTGAGTTCGGGGATACTACCCAAACCTCAACAAATAGATAGGTAGAACAGGTAGAATAGGTAGGAATAGGTAGGTACTGTAGGTAGATAGATAGGTAGATAGATAGATAGAGAAAGAAAAAGAGAAAGAGAGAAATAGAGAAATATAGAGAGCGATAGTTTACTTGGATCATCCCACTTAACACCTGGTTGGTAGGCTTCTAAGCCACCGGGAGAAGCCTAGGAATTGGGGACTTACCCTCCATCGTCCTCATATGCTTCACCATGTTGATGAACAACCGCAGCCCCGGTGGAGATTGTTCGCTTGTTAGTACCATTTTATGGCAACTTCTGTGACCTACTTGGACGGCAAATTCTTGGGAAACAGGATTAGTAAGTCGGGATGTTCCCTTTTTGTATGTTGGGAAACAGTTGTCCATGCAAACCAGAAAAGAGGTATGTGCATATTCTATATCCCTCCCTGAAGTGACAAAGTTCAACCATCCAGATGAACTTGTGACAATGTCATTATTGAAGAAAGAAGTGGGCAGCAGGAAGAAATCACCACGATACAGATTGGCGTTCAACGGTGTTGAATGGTTTGCCGGTGATTATTATGTGCTGAGAAAAGGGCAAGTTGATGCAACTGCAGCAGCAATTGATTTTAAGCCGCTCACTGCAGGTGAGTTTGCGAGCATGAGATTGTTTCATACTTCCTCAAGCCATTCTGGAGGTAGCAAGACAGCAGATCAGTTGAATCTATCAGGCATTCTTGGGATGCCGCCTAGAACAAAGTTTTCAGGCAAACGTAAGTTGAACGCTTTGCTGACCCGGATGATTTGTGCCACCTGACGACTTGTGCTTCGAGTCTAACCCGCACATGGGATGAGCCGGAGGAGCAGCATGAGGCTCAACGTCCGGATGTTTACATTGGGAATCCATAGAGGACGTTCCATTGCCACGGAAATTAGACTACCAGCACCAAATGGTATCAGCCATAAACATAATTTTGAAACTGATATTCCATGGATTTTCCATATTTTACACGTATTCCATCTGAAAATTTCAAAGGGTATCAACCCAAACATCTGTGATAGTCCATTTTGTAATCTCTTACTGCTTGATCAACCACATCGGTTTTTCACTGCATTGCAGATCGGGGACTTGGAGAGTCATCCCAGTTAGAAGTGCCTGGTGACTTGGAGTCCCCTACGTGGGATTGTGCCACACATATACAGTAATATACACGATTTTTAACGGCGTATCATCTAGAACCATCACAATTACCAATGTAATAGCCATATTATATCCCAGTTATGTTTAGGAGACAAAATCAGTACATAGCTTATTGACCCTTACGATGCCTCGCACCAAGTCGTGGGAATACGAAGCAATGCCTTACTACCCTCGGGTAGTCAAACGTGGTCGCGAAATCCATCACCGATGGGCATAAAGAATGGGGTGAATAGAATCATTCTCTTACTATGCGCTGCTATAACTGGCTGGTGTTTTGGAACCTTTTTTTATTTTTCCATATATTTGGAATAATAATTCCAACTGACTAATATTTTTCAGAGGGGTGGAAACCACCAACCAGATAATCACTATCCTTAAAAATAGTATACCCATGAATTTATGAGTGTCATAGATTCACCCAATAGATATGTAATGATAGTTGTTCACCATAGCTATTCACCCAGTGAAACTATGGGGTGAATAGATAATTTGATTTAATCATAGATAACGAACCTATGGATTTTCATCTATCATTAACCGTAGTTACCATCTATATAACAGATAATCATCGATAGGTCACCATAGTTATCATCTATTACCCTCTGGTAAACCAACATAACTATGGAAAATGACCATTTATAGTTGAATTACATATTAAAATGGTGATTTTCCAAAGTTAAATTACCATAGTTATCATTGTTATCATCTATTAACCATAGTTATCATCTATTATCCATTATGAACCATAGTTCTCATATTAATCATAGATGTTTCACCCCTTGGTTATCCCATCAACTTCGGCTTCCAGGACCTTTTGGCTCTCCTCTATCCACGTCCATGCACCGGATGTGCCTTGAGATGTCGATGGGGAGTTGGGGCAACCAAAATGGGAAGTTTTCGGAGAACTATCCCCAAATATATGTTTTTTTTTCGTTTAATCTACCAGTGTATGATTCACTGTATATTATATATATATACTGGTTGGTGGTTTGGAACATGATTTTGATGACTTTCCATATATTGGGAAGCTCACAATCCCAAGTGACGAACTCATATTTTTCAGAGGGGTGGGTATACCACCAACCAGTAATGTAAATTGGGAGAAGATCCTGGGAATATGGATAAATAGAATCGTAAAATTGTTAGATCTACCACCATGATATTCCCATTTTACCATGAGGAATGCGAGGAATAGATGGCTGGTAGATTCCCAATGGGAATATCGTGGGATAAAAATGGGAATATGATGGGAATACCATGGGATATATCATGGTTACAATGATACTAATGATGGGAATATATATATATAATGATAATATAATGGTATATATAATGGGAATATAATGGTATAAAACAGTTGATGAGATTTTTAAGATATGGGGGACTGAGGTGGCACCTGAAAATGGGAAACCTGAAAAAAAATAGAGTGGAGAAACAGCTACGGCTTATATATATATATACATAATTATATACTGGTTGGTGGTTTGGAACATGTTTATTTTTCCATATATTGGGAATAATAACCCCAACTGACTAATATTGTTCAGAGGGGCTGAAACCGCCAACCAGTATATATATTTATATATATATACTTACATATATATATATACTTACATATATATATATAATATATCTGTCAATCCCGCAATTGAGAAACAAGAAAGGAAGTGTCCTGGATCAGCCCTGGACGCCTGGCATGGCTCCAAGGCACGCAGGGAATCAGAACGACAATTCGGCTGCTGTTTATCCAGGCTTCTACGAAGCGCTGATCAAGGACTTCAAGAAATTCATCCAGAGCTACAAATTTCAACAAGCGCGAGAGATGGATGATGGGCCAACAAAAATCCTTATTTTTTGGATCGTTGAGGTTGCTCATAGACATTCTTAAACTTATCATTTTTCGCTGGTGGCCATTCAAAATCAACCACTGAGTTCGGCGGAACTGCCTCGGTGCTGCAAGGACTTCATGGAATAGATGCCGCACTGTTGGTCCCCTTTGGTTGCTGTTGCTGTTGTTTTTTTTGTTGTCTATGTTGGTTTCTTCGAAAAATAGGGTCCCGTTAGAAATACCCTGGCCATGGACTGAGTCCCATTTGGGAACTATTTGGAAGAAATCGTCACCATTTAATAAAGATTAAGGGGATGGTTTATGATTACTGATTGAGGGGGTGGTTCATGGTGATTATGGGGTTGGTTTATGATTGGCTTTTGGAACTAAAGATTCCAGAAAAATCTGTACAGCCAATCATAAACCATCCCCATAATCACTATGGGTGGTATCGGTGGTATAAATCATCCTCAGTCATGGTAGGTTTATGGCAAGGTTTTATCACATTAGATACCCTCTGGTAAAGTAACTAACATAGCTATGGAAAATGACCATTTATAGTTGATTTTCCCATTGAAAATGGTGGATCTTTCCATTGTTATGTGGCTGTTTATCACATTAGATATCCTCCAAACCGGGCACCGAACTCAAGGCTCTGGTCTTTATTGTGGGCAGCCATGCTGACGTGGTGGCTTGTGGACACGAGGAGACCGAGGCACCAAATGGCACCATGCGTGGTTGATAACCCATATTGGGATACTGGTTGGTGGTTTGGAACATTGGTTTAGTATGGGGTAATGATGGTTAATGATGGTTAATAATCACTGGTATCTATGGTTAATCTATGGTTAATCTATGGTTAATAATTGGAATAACAATATATCTGGTTGGTGGTGACTGGAACCATGGAATTTTGAATGACGTTCCAGAAACAGTTGGGAATTTCCATCCATCCCAACTGACGAACTCACTCCATCATTTTTCAGAGGGGTAGGTTGAAACCACCAACCAGGATATGAAATGGTGATGTAATGGAATATGCATGGCTTATATGTACCCTCTGGTAAACGTTTACAGTTTGCAAACTTGAAGCCATGGCCCAGTCGAAATAGTGGATTTACCCATGAATAGCATGCTGGGTTTTCCATCGTTTTTGGTATGTTTACCAGGCCGGGTAATGTCTATCATGGTGATTTACCCAAAGATCAATGGGATCCCTAAAGTCCTCCGGTGAGTTTCAATCCTAAACCATGGTTCTCATGGAATCTGATGGATGTGGGATACCCATTTCAGGAAACCTCCAATATACTTGGAGTATACCTATTGTACATCTGGCGTAAGATATGACCCACAAATCCTGGGATGCACATCCCGGAGTTATCTCTCACCTGGTTGGTGGTTTGGAACCATGGAATTTGATGTTCCCCAATAGTTGGGATGATGATCCAATCTGACTTTCATATTTTTCAGGGTGGTTGAAACCACCAATTAGTCACTCAATTAACCACAATATTAGATGGCCATTACTTCAGGTGGCCTGCAGTGGCACAGCTTCCGGTGAACTTCTGGGGTGCCAAAACTGGGTCGCAACTTCCGAAGCCAAATCGCCCATGTCCAAGATATCCAGCTGACACCTCCATTGGGAACGATTTTGGTGACTGTGATGTGACTGTGAAACATTGGAAATCATGGGATAATCATGCGATAATCATGGGATAACCATGGGACCGATCATCCCAACTGCAGGATCTGGTCCACCGTATCATCCCAATTGCTTGTCGTGACCGATTTTTAGTAGATGTGATGTGCATCATGAGCAGCGTTCAAATCTTTCCCAAAGTGGGGTGCCTCATCATTCGGTTTGGAAGCCCATCCGGTAGATAGAAATGCACCACAGGAGTTGGCCTTGGTATCAACCACATGACCTACCTTGGGTTGGAAGGAAACTTGTGGTTTCATTTGATTCTAAAATCAAAGAGTTCCTGTAAAGGTTCCCGACCATACCCCCGTTACCTTTGATCCACTCACTCCAGGCTCGTGTTGAAGAAGAGATCGTTTGGAGACCAAGTGGCAGGGGGGTGTTGCCCAATCGTAGACGGTTCCTGTTGTCTTTGTTTCGAAGAATATTCCGAGTAGGCTTAGTTAAGGCCATTGTTAGTGTATATATTTTATATTCCCATTATATAGTTCCATAGTGTCCCATGGTATCCTCATCATATCCCCAAAACATGCTCACATGGTTTAAACCATGCACAAGTACCTTCACACAAGGTGATGCCCCTAATTACTTAGCTGAGTTGGAGTATTTGCCAAGTTGTGGTTCGTGATAAATACATTCATACTTAGTCGGGTTCATAAACCGACTTATACTTGGTGAGCACCACCTTTTTTATGCAGCTAATATCGCTTTGTTACCAGCAACCCAACTCAACCAGCAGTGATGTGACAAGCTGTCTTTATCTTGGGATTTTCACGTCCGAGATGCTCGAACAATTGGTGCCAGGCATTGGCCGTGTTTTTTCCCCACCTGCCAGGTGAGGGTTGTTAGATTTTATGTCAGTTGCCTCCTCGTCCTCCTCCTCCTC